GTCTGGAACAGCGGAGATACAAATATCAGGCGGCAGAAGAATGTTCCACTGCAAAGGCGGAGAGCCACATCGCTTATTGTCGACAGCAACAAGCGACGTCACTGTAAACCTGGAATATTAATAGATGTGATGAGTAAAAACTTGTTTCACCAGGGAACAGTGACATTTTCTTTTTTTTCTGAAAACAACACATATTATTCTGAGACTTAAAAAAAAAACAAAATACTTTTTTTTGTGACCAACTTAATGTGCCGATCTGTTTCTTAGACATTTTTTCAAAGCACATTTTCCCATACAGCATCTGTGAATCCTTGATTTATGGCCAAAAAAAGCAGTCGATGTGGCGGCGGCCATGTTGACTGCTAATCAGCGGCTCTTGCTCAGTTTACTCTCAGGTCCAGGTAAACATGTGGGCCTAATCTGATGAGATTTCTTAAAGCGTTTACGAATGGGAGCCTGGGACTGCTGCATATTTCCATAAACAGCTGTGGCAGCAAAACTGGATATTACTCATGCATAAGACAAAATATAACTAAATCGACAAAAACTGAAATATCAGCCCATCTTTTTTGTAGAATGTCTCAAATGTGCAAAGTGCACCACTTCATTGCAGCCTTCTTGCAGAAAGAGGAACTCATATATCATATAGAACTCGAGTAATATGTATATTCTAAGCCTTTATTTGTTGTACTTTTGACAATTATGGCTTGGAGTTAATAAGAATAAGAAAAATAAAATTAAGCGTCTCGTAAAATACTGTGACAGAACTAACTTGTTGAAAATGCTATGTCCATTAAAAGAACTTTTTCTGATTAGAAGTAAAACGTACAACTTATTAGTATAAAAAAGACCAAAATGAGACTTTCAGCTACTTCCATTCACTGCAGCTGTGTTTTACACAAACCTGGCATGCTCACAGTCGATCCTTTATTGCACCACAACTCAGAGGGAAGTGACTGTCTCTGACACAACCGTGCGCATTCTGGGTGGCAACGATGGCCATAAGTGGAGCAGACATTTAGACTGGGAGATTATTTGTTTTCACTTATAATTTTTTCTCAAGTTAATGTGTTATTGAGAAAAATCAAAGACAAACTGGGTCTTTGCTGGCAGGCAAAGACCTGTTTGTCAGCTCTCCCCCTGACTGAAATCACCACATCAATACCAGCCATGAAAAATCATTTATGCGTTGAGTTCTCAACTATGCACTCAGATCATTTTTGGTTCTCTTGCTAAATTTTTTGGGTTTTTTTTTACTGAAAATATAAAAATAATTGACAATGACGATCAATACAAGCTGAATGTAATTAAAAAGGAAAAAGTTGTGATTACGATAAATTCTCTTTTTCTATTTAATGTTCTTTGTGAGAGAAACAGCCTGCTATCAACACAGACACACACTTCTTAAACGTCCAATCTGCTGTCTGATTTCTGCATAGAAATCAGCGTAGAATCCTTTTTTTTTTGTGCACAGTCTGACACGCAGCTTTAAATTCAGACAACACACATAATCACATTAGATTTTTCATTAGGCGTATTCTCTTTTATTGCTTGGGGCGCAGGCTTGAGCCTAAAGACGGCCTTGTTCTTCGCTCGCTCTCTCCGGCCTCCTCCAGGTGACTGCTGCAGCGCTCCAGCAAGCCGTTGCTAGAAAACGCTCATCAATCACAGAGCCTAATCTCAGGTTCTCGCTGGCACCTCCATTGTGCGAGGCTTTTCTATAAGGCTGCCTTCACATAATGCCCCCGCTCAGCCTCCTTTTGACGGGGCGGCGGCCCTGCAGCTCCCTGCCATGAGGGCCGTTCTCAAGTGGCACGTCTTTTTGAAGCGAGGCGGCGGTGGCGCTTCGGCTAATCTGGACATCTGGAGGCCCAGAGGGTGAAGGCGGACGAGGGCCAAGGACGTGGCATATAGGTGGCCGCAGATGGCTTCTTGATGTTTAAACATAATCATCTGGATCTGAAGCCAAAGGGTTATTTGCAATGGTAATCAAGAGGAAGAGATTTCCTCTCTTTTCTTTGCTTATAATTTGTTTTGCTTGTCTCAATTTACATGCGTCAATAATAAGTCAGTATCTCACCCAACATTGTTGGCGTGGATCATGAAGAAAGTGGTGTATTAATAAATTTAGTCTTTTCTTGTCCTCGTGAAGCTTCTATAAATGGCAAAACAGCCGGAACATCGACTTCCTTTAACCCTTTATTTTTTTAATGTTAAATGTCCACCTGGATTTTTTTGCTCATTTTAATTGTTCGCAGTTCTTTAAATGTCCTGTGAGAAAATATAATTGCCTGTTTACCCATAACAACTGGAAAGTTCAATATCTAGCAAGTTATTTCTGATTATTGAAAGCCTCAGATTAATTTCATTTCCTGCTGCGGCAGGAAGTGAAATTACCGTAATAACCCGAGATTGGTCGGAAAGCGCAACGTCTCCCCTTTCAGAAACCGTTGGAATTTTTCAGATAGTGCAACGTGTGGTGGACTTACGGTACTGCAAATGTGGCTGGATCGCCAGAGCTTCGTTTAGGACTTAAAGGTTTAAATCAAGACTAAAAAAGCCACTTGTTGCCTTCGAACCGTTTCACTGGTCAACAGCCAAAATATTGACTTGAGTTGTTCCAGCTGTTTCAGGGTAATTTTGATGAGCTGAATCCAAAAATCCCATCAGTTTTGCTGAATCAGGTCAACTTTCTGAACTATGGATGCAGCGGGAGCAGCAAAATGTATGACTTGTTCTCACATCTGGACCGATTTGCTGAGAATCTGGGATCATTGAGTGATGAGCAGGAGGAGAGACGCCAGCAGGACAGAAAAGAGACGGAGAATTTTACACAATTAAGACGTAATGTTCAATTCACATGCATTTACCATAATCAGTGTTTATTACTCAATTTACAGAAAATCCAAGTTTGTATTATTTTATTGATACACTATTAAAAAACAAATTTTTTTTCTCCTAAAATGTCTTTTGGATGAGAAATATTAACTGATGATGTCACAAAAATGTCATCAATTTAGTTGGAAGATCAGATTTCAATAAATCAAATCAGAATAAAAACCTGACCTGACCGAGAAAAATGGAGGCGAATTTTTTTTAATCAGAGGTAAAAAATAGTTCAGTTGAAAGAAACATAGCAACTCCCAAAAGTAATTTTTTTTGTCACTCGGTGAAATTGATGGAACTTTGGCCAACATATATGATTCGTTTTGATGTTTGTGACGATGTCAAAATGTGATGTTTGTTCTCAAACTGGTGACTGTGTGATGTCTTTGGGACTTTTTACTGTTGTGTTTTTAACGACGGAAACACTTTGAAGCACCTCATTGCCGAACTGTGCAACGCAAGTGACCTCGACGGATTAATTGATTTCTTGAGTTCCAACCGAAAACAATCTTTTCAATGTTCCTGTTAAGGTTTCAGTCGCCATGCAGCACTCAGACTTGGTCGCGATGCATCTAAAACATCTGCTTTGGTTTTACTAGATGTAGACAGGATGAAAAAGTGAGCGGGTTTGTGTGGTACTTTGTTGAACATGTTCAGATTTTGTTCCACAGATTAGGACAATGTGTCATTTGGCAGTTATGTGTCATGTGGGGTTCCTCAAGGCTGCTTTCTCGAGTCATTTTTAATTGAATAAAAAAAAAACTTCTCTTTCCACAGATATTAACACACATATGCTGATGATGTAATGCTTTATGTTTCTGTGTCAGCACAATCACTGGGAGAGCATGTCTGTAATATCAGTGAGCTAGTCTCATGAATAAAAAAAATATTATTGTTTAACATTCTGGCATTCCAGAGGCAGAGTACAATCTGAATTGGTCACTATTCCATCACAGATTCCTTGAATCATAAAATACTCAGGTTTTCCTGGCACTTTTCATGTATTGTCTGTCGAATTTGACTTTTCTCACCCTCTGTTTTCTTTTCTTCCCTTGTAAAGCACATGGAATTGCCGAGAATGTGAACAATGTCACACATATCAAACTGTCTTGGCTTGAGCCGAAAATGAGATTTGCAACACGGATGAACTGGCTAAAGAGAAGAAAGAGCAACTTTAAGATTCAATGAAGACATTGAAAAAAATAAAACCAAAGAACATGTTTGCAAAATTGCTTGGAAAGGCAGAGAGTCTTCCAAAACAGCTGCCTTGTTTTGTGTGTGTGCCTTTATCTGCGATCCTCACCGCTGATCTTTTTTTTTTGTCTTTCAATTTTTGTTTCAGCTCTTGGCAGATGAAACGCAAACAGCCCTATTCAAAAATAAACACAGCAATTTTGAGCATTTTGACATTTCATTGTGCCATATCTGGTGGTCTGTGCTTCAAACCATTTCATTTCACACTGCGAGGACAAAAAAAAACAAAACAAAAAGAAAAACTGGTTCCTTGTGCTGCTGTGCAGATGAACAGCCCAGATAGTGGACGGGTTTTTAACTCCACAATCGTTTCTACCTGGTCATTTTGTGCTTTTGCGTTTATTTTTATAGATGAAGCCTGTGGCGAGTGGATGCCAGACAGTGGGCTTTTATTGCAGCTGATGTGATGATGCTTTCATTCGTATACATATAAAGATTACAAAAGCATAGAAACCTGCCAAATCCATTCAGTGATTTAATTAATAAATTTCCTTCAGCGTACTATAAGCCTGGCGGGCCGCCAGGCTTTCCTTGTGTCCCCACCAGGCTAACTAAGCATTGCTCATTATTTAATTTTTTTTTTATGTTTGCATTTTTTAAGACTTGTTAGTTGGTGTTCAGGTATTAATCTTCCAATTTTCCAGTAACACAATTATCAAGTGACATTTTCATATTTTTTGTCAACTTTAAAAAATGTTGACTCAAAAACATTTTGATGTCTTTGTCCGGTATTCTAACCAATGCAGAGACTGCTGTACCATATAACTTAAGTACTGAAGTTTAAGCTTGAAACAAGTTATTTTAACTTTACGTAAAAGTGTATCCAATAAAAAAAAAAAAGAGTTTGGATGACGTCAGACCTTGGATGGAAACTTTTGGATGTTCCTTCTTTGTGCACTCGGGCTGGGTGAGCGGGTCGAACAGGAGCGTGGTCGGGCTCGTCGGGACCGCCGAGTTCTGCGTGCAAACAGCTGGGAAGAAGAGGAGGAGGAGGAGGAGGAGGAAGAGGCCAGCCAGAAACGAGGGGTTGGAGTCCTGTGAGGACGCTGTCATGGTGATGACCTCTCCTCTAACTGCCAAGGTGAGCCTCTGGGGAAAAGCTGGAGAAGAGGGGAGACGACGTCAGATAAAAGGGCTGAACAGACTGAATACCAAAAAATGAAAACGAAAACGGGAGAACTCAAGGTACAGAGTCTATGAAGGACAAAGAATTGAAGAACTTCTCAGGAAGCAAACGAGTCCTGTCAAAGTGCCTGACCCCTGACCTCGGAACAACGAGTCACAGCTTGCAGTTAAACTTCGGAAGTCCATTTATTGTTCGATTAGGATTATGAAATGGGACGGTTGACCGTTCAGTGAGATTTAACGATGCAAAAACAAGCCGACGTGAAATTATCCTTCAGAAAGAAGAAACTGTTTGAACAACTTTGATTTCTGCCCACACCCCAACGTTTTTACGGCCAGTGATACGTCTCCCTGCATAAAATGACTTTCCATAATTCTGTCAGTCCACTATTAAAATATTAGTCCAGCAGAGCTACAAGAAAACGACAACAGCTCGAAACACACGCACTCGCTTGTACTTCCTTACTGAATGTAATCTCTCCCAGTCATAACTTATGAGTCTACGGTGCTGAGCTGAGACCAGCAGTTCATCATCTTCCGCCCCGCACTCCTCACACTGTTAGCATAGCGAGGTGTAATCTCATTAAAGCAGATTAAAAACCCAGAGCATCAACTTTCCGGAGCACTTTGACTTGGTTACATCCCCGTGTTGTGTTTTCCTCGCTAATGCTTCAATCAATAACAAGTTATTAGCCGGGTTGAGTTGCAAATCAACCATATTGGCCGCCCATCAATTATCCCCGCTTACAGTGGCGGCTGGCACCGACTCCCATCCTGAACCAGAAGTGACTCTTTCCTCCTGTATTTATTGATTTGTTTATCATTTATTGTGGTAAATTTCTCGTCCCGGTAAAAATTCAGATTTATTCTTGTCACAATGAAGGATTTTTGAAACCACCTAAAGCTGTCCATGTTGAGGTTGCTAATTTTACCATTTTTTTCCCCCCACAATTTCTTCAATTGCTTTTCTGAAATTTAAACATAAATTTACGAATATGAGCACTGATATAATCACACAACGTTCAGAACTAACGCATATTTTAAAGCAATTACCTCTGGAGATTGTTTTTTTTTATTCCACCCTTTTCCTTTTTATTATGATTTTAATTCCACTGCAGACCAATTAGAGCCAACAAAATATCAGTTTAAACCAAAGAAGCATTCATCTCCTCTTCACCAGCGGTTTTTGATTTGATTTTTGTGGCTTTCTAGCTCCAAGTCAAAATACGTCGCTTTATGTTAAAACAAAACTTAGAGCATGATTTGATTTCATTTGGAACAAAACCGCATTAATAATTCCTACTTTTGCTGCCTCTTCGTGTCTTTGTGAGCTTATGGCGAAACGTGTTTTGTGAAAAAGGTCTTGAATGGAGCGACGGACGGCGCCGCTTCAGCTTCCACACCATGAATGCTGCAAAAGGTTTGCAAGCAGTTAAGTGAGATAAAGCTGGAGAAAACTCCCCCGTTTAACACGACTTCATATCACGGCGTCACAGTGAAGGAATACTTTTGCAGTTTTCAAACTAACTTTTCCTAAATCTTAGCGCGTGCCTTTAACAATCACACATTGCCGAGGAACAACGGCACCCGACTGCCTCACAGTAGACAATGAGTAGATTAAATGAAACAACACTGATGTGCTGTGAAATGTGAGCCAAAGGGTCGGTAGGAAATGCAGACGGGTCGGATGTGAAACAATCAGCTCTACAGAAACGCAAAACAGAAAGCAAGAGAGCCCAAACTGAGGAGAGAGCTGCACAAACAAAAACCCTTCCACAGGTTGCACTGTGTTTATGTGAAGTAGAAATATGTACAAATACGGCTTGTCGTTCTTGCTTAATTTGAATTATGAGGACATTCACCACAGACACGCTTGGTTGGTGTCCTGCTTCACAGTTTGATAGTGTAACAGCGTTAGCTGAACAGGAAGGTGCTGGTCAAACACTGTTATTTTTCACCGAACAAGTAGGAAAGGTCTTCCTTCCTACATCCTTAATCAACAAGAAGGAGTTGTTTTTTCTTTCAGTAGAGTAAATGTCAACTTCTGGTAAGTGGATTTGCGAGAAGCTTCTTTTTCTCTTTCTTTCACTTTGACGCTTGTATCTTATTTTGTCAGCAGATTTTTTTTATTGCCAGCGGGTTTTTTTCCACTTTGCCCATGTACGTCTTTGTTCAAGTAAGGCACTTAGTTTGCATGCAATGACGTGAAAGACCAAGCATGACTAAATCCTGTTCAAAGAGTGTTTTGCCCAAACGGACTATGAGGATGAGGAATTGCGTTTCCAAGCCTCTTCTCTGTCTGACTGCGAGTTGCACAAGTGAGCTGACGTTTATTTTACGTAAACGCTGGCTTTGTATACATCTTTTCTTTCCGCTTGATAAAAGCCCCGAGATGATGGGAAAAGGTATTTGCTCCCTTTGAGGTTCCTTCTGTCTTTTTTCTTCCCCTCTTCTGTCGCATTTAAACGTTTCAGATCGAACAGATTCTCTCGTCGCTCGGAGGTAATCAGGGTAAATACTTGTTGCGGTTTTCAGATGATGATAGAGGAAATAAACTCGGCCCTGAGTGAATCTCCCACAGCCCAAATGTAGCTCGTTTTCATTGAAAAGATGGGTTCAGAATTCAACAAGCAGGTGTGAAAAGCTTAAGGAAGGATGCACAAAATGTTTGTTCTAGATCGGTTGTTTGAACTACCAAAGAAATATAAACTAAAGTAAAAAAAATAATAATATTATTCCAAGCAAAACATTTTTATAACGCTAACTCACTTGATACAGAGAAAGTCTAACCAAATTTATTGTGAAGCAGAAAAAAATCCGTCTCCCTTAATAATTTGGCTTAAGCCTCATTTAACAAGATAATGAAAGAGACAAATTTCTCCTTTAACTAATAAAATGTTCACGTTCCTCTAAACACAAGGTGTAGTCTAATTAAGAGCCTAGTGAAGTTTATTTTGTGCCTAATGGTATTATTAAATCGCACATCATGTCTCTGACTGGATCATTAGACTCTATTAGTCGCTGCAAATCTCAAGAATATATGATGCAATGGCTTGCCGTACATCCGCCATTGTTCCCACTGCTTCTGTGTGAGAAAACTTCCTTTTCCAAACGTGTGTTCAGGGATCATCTCTGCAGCTCGGTTCAATGTTCCTGGTGTCTTTCTACATTAAAAACTTTTCTTTGCTTTTGATGTAGAAGTTTTACACACAAAAAAAACTTTTATCGTTCATGTTCGGACAGCGACTGGCTGGATGTGCTTAAAACATTTTGAGCTTTAATGTTAATTGTCGAAGCACTAGTCCTACAAGTCAAAGACTTGAGTGTTTGAGTCTGTTTTTACTTTAAATGGACTGAAATGAAATGTAAGCTCAGAAAACGGTTCATTTTGGCTTTAAGTCCCCTCAGCGGCGAGTCGGGGCCAGTGAACTCGGATGCACACCAATCTCCACTCTGGAAAAAACTGGCAGGGCCCAGCCACGGACAGCTGGTCACACTCCACAACATGCGGGCAGAACTGATGCGTGCTGCGTGCCAACATCAACTCCCGAGAACGAGCTCGCTCCTTTCCCCTGCGAACAGAGCGCGCGCGAGGCAGGAACGACGACTTAAAGCCGCTGCAAAGAGGCCTCAGCAGGATCCACCCAACTTCCCGTCCCGCTGTGTCGAGAATCGCCAGCAGTCTGTCGTCGGCGAGGGAGCGGTACACTGGATACACCGCTGGCAAAGCTGTCTCAACAAACACTGCAGGTTCTACTGTAAAAGACTCGCAGAGCCTCTGATTGTCACTCGGTCAGACACGGCGAGTCGATGACGGGAGTCTGTGTGTGCCGAGAACTTATGGATTTATGAAAGAAAAGTGCAAATGCTGCACCGACAAAACACGGGAACATGACAGGATTTATTTAACCTTCGCTGATGACAGAGAGGGGAAGAGATCATCTCTCTTTTCTTGCACTTATTGGAGGGTGAATTACAGATTCTAAATGAAAATGTTGGATTGTGCACATTGTGTTTACTGTGTATGTTGTGAACGTGTTAAATACTTTGACTGCAGTGCTTCTTCCTAAACTGTCGCCTTTTGTCTTGTTTGGTTCAAATATGTTTTCAAAAGTTAAGATCTGATTGTACCACACATTATTATGGTCAAGAAAATATAGTGTGACTGCAACTGCAGGAATAAAGTCATTAAATGACAAGAATAAAGTCGAAATTTTGAGAATAAAGTCGTAGTTTTTCAAGTATAAAGTCACAACTAAATAAACTTTATTCTGGTAATATTACGACTTTGTTCTTGTAATATTGAGGTAATATTTATTCTCATACTGTTTCTACTTCATTCTAGTATAGTTCTATCTTTATTTTCAATGTTTTTTGTATTCTGTTTTGTACTTTTCCTAGAATCCAAATGATTGGGGCAAAAATAACGAGAGGAAACATTTATTTATACGTCAAGCACCGATGAAGGGCCTCCATACGCATTTACTTTTCTGTTTTCTCTTTCGTGTTATCAAATTCGAGTTTGTGAAAAAGAGAAGTAAATTTAATGCTGCATCAATTTCAAGATAAAAAACTTGGTATATGTTGCACAGCATGAACCCTAAACAAAACGGTTTCATGTAACAGGAATCCTCTTAACATAGTTTAAGAAAATAAAAAAGAGAAGCTGAGCAATAAACTCTCTCAGTCTGGCTCTCGTACAGTAAAACACCCAGATTGCTAAGTGCTTCAGCGTGGAATAGAAATTGATTATCACATTCCTAAAGTGCTCCGGCTTAATTATTCTAATAAGACGGAGAATTTGAAATGTAAATTGTGGAGTCTCCCCTGTGGATGTTTTACAGTGGGAACTCCCGGCAGAAGCTCATTTCGGGCCTCACGTCGGTCGAGGCTCCAGGCAGAAGGGCTTCTGTTCCCTGGACACAGTTTGCTGCAAACCACCCAGAGCCTCACGAACAATGAACCCCGGCCTCTT